CACTGGATTGTCCAGCGGGCAGTCAATGGGACCGATACTCAAGAAAGAAAAGAATGTTGGACTTACTACTTTGGGTGTCTTCTGGTCTAATCCAGCATTTATTAAGCTCCTACTATGTGCAGGGCACTGTGAACTAGTTACTAGGTATACAAAGAACAGCCCCTTGTCTCTTCTCAGCCCAGTGTGGTTTTGTCACTTATCAGGTTCATTTGATCAACATGTTGTTGATCAGTTGTTTCAGTCGTGTCTGACTCTTTGTGACCCCATTTGGAGTTTTCTTGGCAACGATACTGGAGTGGTTTGCCATATCCTTTTCCAGGTCATTTTACACATGAGGAAACTGAGGCAAACAAGGTTAAGTGACTTGCCTAGGGTCACACAGCTGAGAAGTGTCTGAGGCTGGATTTGAACTTGGGTCTTCCTGTCCCTGCACTCTATTCATTGCACCACCTAGCTGTGGCCCTTTTGCTCTGATAGAACTCAGTTGCATAATTACAGGAATTTATTTCAATTCAACTAATATTTGTTAACCTCCTATACTGTTTAAGGCACCAGGAGTACAAAAATGAAAAATTACCTAGTTCCTGCCTTCAGAGAACTTAATTCTTTTGAGGTTTAAACACAATGGAAAGCAATGATGGCAGTAAAGATGGAACTGTGAAGAAGAAAGCTTACCTAACATTTTAAAAAAAAAAAACTAATGTTTTATTGATGCTTTTTGTTTTCAAGGTCACAGTCCTATCCAGATAGCCCCCATCTCTTGTAGTCTTCCCCTTATGACAAAGGAAAACAATTAAGTGCAACCAACTACAAAATGGCAGCACCTAAGCCCATAGTCTCCCACCCCTCCACCATGGAAAGAAGAGAGTTGCATTTTCTCTTTACAGAGATCCCTAGAACCCAAGAGAGATTACAGAGCAAATGACCAGGAATGATGTGATTTGAGGGATTCACGTGCTGTTGACTCAACCCTGGAATGAAACGACATGTACTGTATCTCTTTATTAAGGTAGCTTTTTTGCCTTTTTCCAGATTTGGTGCTCACTTAGACAGCTGGGAGCCTTTGTGTCCCACAGAGGTAGTTTCATGTATTTCCAAGGATCACACCGATTTCAAGGTTTTCACATTGCCCAGCCGACCATGTTCTCAATAGGGAGGGTTTTACATTTTAACTCCAGTTATTTTGCGGCTAAGTGAAAGGAGGCCTATTTATAATTCTCTGCCTTATTGCCTATAAACCACAAGTTTCTTTCTATGCAGAATTGTAAAATGCTGCTTGAGCTGTGAGGATCTATTTCATATGGTAATTTCCATTAATGAGTCAGGACATAGAAATGTTAAATTTTGCCCCAAACTGCCTAGTGTGAATTGAGGGAAGACTGTTGTAGTTAGTGTTGACAATTTCTTCTGGTGATTCAGAACACAATATAATTGTGTCCATAACCTGTTTAATGTTCTGAATAGAAAGTAACCCAAAATGTATTTTGTTGGTAGAGGGAACCTCACTTTGACATTTGGATTTAGGAAGTCTAAACTTTCACCATCAATTATTGGGGCGCTCATTTCTTCCCTTATTCATTCAATAAATATTTAACATCCATTGTGTTGATAGCATTGCATTAGGCTTCAAGGGAGTTCCAAAGAGCAGAGCAGACAGGGCTCTGCCCTCCAGGGGGGCATAAAAGACAATTACATTTAATTGTTTCTAACAACAAGCATTGCATAGTCTCTGCACCAAACTTCTTGGCCTCGTGGGATGGGGAGATGATTGTGCTCTAGGCATTTCTTAGGAGGAAGGCATGTTGGGATGGAGCTCCTCTTTCCTGTTGGAAGCAAAACCTTTACTTCTTTTTTCAGACATTTCTGGGCAGTTGAAATGGTGTAAGCCTCTATTCAGTCCATCAGTTTTGTAAGCCTTTATCAGACAGGCAGGCCAGCAATGTGCATTTATGAAATTGTGTGCCAGGCACTGAATTGTGTTCTGGGGATACAAAGAAAGGCAAAAACAGACCTCTGCCCTCAAGGAACTTACAGTCTAATGGGGGAGACAGTATACAAATAACTCTATGTATATCCAAGATATATATATATAGCATAAGTGGAGGGTAATATCAGAAAAGGAGCTAGCAGTGGAGGGAGGGGTAAAGGCATCCTGTAGAAGGTAGAGAAGGAGCTGAATGTTGAATAAGGTCCACAAAGCCAGGAGTAAGGAATGAGAGCATTTCAGGTGTGGGGAACAGCCATTAAAAAGCTACTGAAGGGGCAGCTAGGTGGTGCAGTGGATAGAGCACCGGCCCTGGACTCAGGAGGACCTGAGTTCAAATCTGGCCTCAGACACATAACACTTACTAGTTGTGTGACTCTGGGCAAGTCACTTTACCCCAACTGCCACACACACACACACACACACACACACACACACACACACACACAGCTAGAGTTGGGACATTTACGTGTGTGTGTGTGTATACATACGTACATACATACACACACACATAACATCTGGGAGGATTAAGAAGGCTTCATGTATTCTGAGTTACAAGTCAGTCCAACTCAGGCCAGCCCCTTCTTCCATTTTGGAACAGTTAACAAAAGGTGGTTGGCTCAGCCATAGCATAAAATGGCTATTTGGATAGACAGCGCCCCTCATCTTCATGTGGAGATGAGTGTAGGCAAAGTGAGGTGACTCCAATGCCAGTAATCAAAGGACTCCCACATTGTGGGTCTTTTTATGTCGTCAGGTGCCCAGGAAGTGACTTTAGTATGGCCACCAGGAAGCTTCATAGGAAGTACAGCTTTAGCTTTGATGTATGGGCCACTCATGTCAAGTTTTGTTTCTTTTCAGGGAAAGAGGTATGCCCTCCTTCATGCAACAAATATTTATTTAATTTTTTGCTACGTGTAAGCCTGACCAAGGCAATATGAGGAATACAGAAAGGAATAGCAGTAGATGCCTTACTTTTTTTTTTTCCAGCTAGGTAATGTTAAGTGCTGCCCCAATGCCTTTTTAATTTGAAGAGACAAATTGTAAATGTATAAAACCTTAAGGAATAGAATGAAGTCAGAAATAGAGAGAAGGGTCCCATCTGCCTCAAAATACTTATGGTTGTAGGGCAAAAAATTGTAAATTAACCAGATGCCCATCATTTGGGGAAGAGGTAAAGAAATTATGGAACCTCGATGCAGTGGAATATTACTGCATCTTAAGAAATAATGACTATGAAGGACAAAAAAAAAATGGGAAGACTTACATGAACTGATGTGGAGTAAGAAGGTAGAACTTAGAAAACAGTATATGCACACTGACCACAGCAGTGTAAATGTCAACGAATAAAAAATTGAAACAAAAATCTATGTAATTATAATGACCAAGCTTGGCCCCAAAGAAGAGAGATGAGTGTGAGGGGCAGCTCGGTGGTACAGTGGATAGAGATCTGGCCTTGGAGTCAGGAGGACCTGAGTTCAAATTTGGCCTCAGGCACTTGACACTTAACCAGCTGTGTGACCCTGGACAAGTCACTTAACCCCGATTGCCTCACTAAAAAGCAAAAAAAAAAAAGAAGAGAGATGAGTATGTATCTTCTTCCTTACTTAGCGTTAGTAGGGAGGGCATGAGTGTAGAACACTGTTTATTTTGTTGGAAATTGTTTGATTAGCTTCACTGAAGTACTTTTTTTCTTTTAAAAAATAAGGGATGGTTCTTTGGGTGAATAGGGGAGGGATATATTAGGAAATTAGAGTAATGTGATGAAATAAATCAGTAATTAGGTTAATTTTTTTAACTTAGTAAGTTTTTTAAACTTTAAATTTTTTTTAAAGTTAAAAAGTTTAGCAGAGGAGTAGATAATATAGTGCCAAATGAATCGTATAGACAGAAGTGCTGTGGGTTTAGAGAAGGGAGAAAGAGGCTTGATGGAGGAAAAGTTGGACTTTGGCTAGACCTTGAAAGATGGATTAGATCTGGTCAAGTGTCATTCTGTCACACTGGCAGAAATGTCAGATAGTCAATAAAGGAACATTTATTAAGTGCCTGCTATGTTCCAGGCACTCTATTAAGTGCTAGGGATACAAAGAAAGACGAAAGACAGCCCCTACTGTTGAGGAGATCACAATATAATGGGGGAGAGAAAAATTAGCGAAATTAACCCTATTTTTGAAACCTTCAAGGACTGTTCAGTTGGTAAAGAATTTAGATTTTTCATTGTCACTGAATTTACCTGATACAAGCGTTTAAATAGAGACTCCTTTGAAAAGAAAAAAATAAGAGATATTAGCTGAAAAACATACGAATTGTAGATCACACACAGGTGTTATGCAAGCTCATTTGAGATAAAATGTAGCCTTTATGTGGACCAATGCAGTCTCTCTTCCCTTATTTTTCTCCCTTTTATTCTATCTCCTTTTTCTTTTGAGGAAAAAAAAAAGGTGTATTTACTCAGCTGAACTGTTTGTTGTACATTCTTATAGTTCTTGGGTATATTTTAAGTGTTTCTGGGATGAGTCACCTGGGAGGTGAACCCAGTTCCTCAAGAGAGAAATGCTTAGCTTTACTTTCCAATTCTTTTGTTAAAAAAAAAACAAACTATGTCTTATACTCTTGACCATAATAATATTCTTACATATGCATGTAAATTCACAAGTGAGCCATTTTCCATAGACATTTGGGGTCTCTAAGGTATTCTGAAGCCATGGGTTATTGTAACACTTAGGGTAGGTAAAAGTGCTTGGCCTTGGGCCTTGGTATCTGTTGTAGGTACTTAAAACCCAGCAGTGCCACTGTGGCTGATGATTTTGTTGCTAATTACCAAACTGGTCAGACCACTTGGCTTTATTTGCTTTATTTGGTGATCTTGGGATGCCTCTATTTACTGATTTTTAAAAATTGTAATCTTCATCATTCAGGTGATTGATCTTGTATAGGATACAGCTAAAATAACTTTATCAATAACAATATATTCTTCATGACCTGGAGTATTGTATTTCCCTCTCTCATCGTACAGTGTGCCATGCTGAACTGAATGCCATTATGAACAAAAACTCAGCAGATGTGAAGGGTTGCACCATGTATGTTGCCTTATTCCCGTGTAATGAATGTGCTAAACTCATCATCCAGGCAGGTAAGAGCTGGTGCCAGGTTGATTTGTCACATATGCATTGCTGTCTGCTCCTGAGTACCTCATCACAGATGTATTTTATTTTAAATTGCTGTTGTTTAAATCTAAATTAATTGCGCTATCAACTTTGCAGGAGATTTTCCGTGTTTTGTGTTTGAATGGTGCCAGGTATTCTAAGACTAATTGTATCCTCTGTGATTCTTAGCATGTTTTTAATTTAGGTTTGCAACTTCTTAAACCGCTGAGCTGCCAAAGAACAACACCGACATTGAATATAATTACTGTCAATTTACTGTACTCTGACATATTATGCGTAGATTAGGGGGGGAAATGAACTTCTGTCTGAAACAAGGTCAGTTGGGAGCCTCTCCATGAAATTTTAATTTGTATGTAATATAGGGTAGATATTTGAAGATTTTAAAATATCTTTGTTCAGAAATGTCATAAGACTTATATGATCCACCTTTAATTTTTCCTCTTATTACAGCTGCTGTAAATCTGTGTTCTTGCAGCAAGGGTGCTGCTTGGAACGTTTCTCCTTCTTCAGACTCTGATATCCAAGTATTGAGCTAACTACAGTATACTTTATCTCTATAAAGCTCTCGACTTGAGTCCTAAACACTTATCATGTTGGCCAGATGTGTGGCTTAAAGGGCCTGTTTATCATGTGCCTCCATGTGGGGGTATTGAAATCAAAAGCCTCATGTTGAAGGGCTCTTATAAAAATACCTTTCTGGCCTCCTTTTGTACTTTCCCTCGGATTTTATTTTCTCCAGACTGTATTCTCCAGAGGGATCAATGGAAAAGAAGCAAGAATAAAAAAAAGCATAGTCTTGTTTATATGTGGGTAGGAAAAAACGGGGACCATGCTAGCACAGATGGGGTGCTTTCCAGCTTGGTATTGTCAGAAGGGGATGAGGACAAGTGCGTTCTGTCTGCTTCCAAGGAACTAGTTTGAAATAAACACATCTATACCTCTCAAGCTATAAAACATTGGAATTGGAAGTATTTTGGCACTTATTTCTAAATCAGAGACTCTTAAACTTTTTTGGGTCATGGACCTCTCTGGTGGCCTGATGATGCAACCAGCTGGGGCTGGTTGGGATTTCCTAGGTAGGCTCTAAATCTACAGTATCTTATTGCTTCAAGTTAGGTCCTTCCTTAATATAGTGTACCTACTTGTGTTAGACCTCAGTTTTTTCATCCATAAAATGAAGGAGTTGGACCAAAGCTGACCTCAGCTCTAAATCTTTAATCCTATACCTAAAATTCAGTCATCATCTTAAACCTTAAATGTTTTAATATGTTTCCATTTCACATTAGTGGGGTAGAGGTGGGACTCTAAGTTTGTTATTGGGAATATTGTGCACTAACTTTTCTTTTCTATGTCAGAGAATAAAAGATAGGGATTTTTGCTCGTGAGAATTGGAATTTTCTGTAAGTTCCCCTTACAAAGTGTAATTAATCAGATACTACAAGGACTCCATCTGTTTCTGTAAATCTTATATATTATTTGTATCTGCATTTCCTAATGGACTTTTCCACATTATCTCTTAAGGTATAAAAGAAGTTATTTTTATATCTGACAAATACCACGATAGTGATGAAACCACAGCTGCAAGAGTCCTGTTTGACTTGGCCGGGATTAAATTCAGGTAAAAGGACAAACTTTTGATGGATGTGAGGCTTTTATTTTGTTTGTTTGAGTTCTGAAAAATCTCTCTTCCTAATGAAGAAGTTTATTTGACTTGCATCAACATTGGAGTATGCTCGCTAATTCCTCTCTGGGATACCTGACTTTCTTTGCTTTGTTGGGGCTTTTGAAATGATGGGAACACTGTCAGTGTAATAAGAATCTGAACAATGTCATCGAAAGAATAGATTTTTAAAAGCGATGACAGGAGCATCTGAAGGCAATCTGTTTAACAGTCTTCAATTCCAGTAACTTTCTAAGGCTTCAACTAATTATTCTAGGAGGGGGGGATTTATAAATTCACAGAGTTTTACAATATTAACATAAGACCTTCTTAAGTTTTGCAAATATAACAAATGTGGCATAGAAAATTTAGGATGAAAGCAGCCTGCTAGGTTGAGACACCCAGGAATTCCTACAGCGGTATTTTAAATTGAGGTTTGAAGTCATTCAGTTATTTCTTGCCTTCAAAAGCTATGTGGATTTTGATCATCATCTTGGCTGGGCAAAATAAGAATATAAGATGTTTTACTTGTGAGCTAGATCAGCCACCTGGATTCTTGGGGAAAAGTTAGTTGAGCCTTTTTTGAGATGGCAAAGCTTAAGGAAGTAGCTCTGATGCCATGGATGGTTTATAATGGTCAGCAGCATAATCAACAGTGGGCTTGAGGTAATGACCTAAGGTCTTTGCCTATTACATTAATGGTTAGGGATATGGGCTGTGCTTAATGAATTTCCTGAATTAAACAGTGCAATGCCTTATGAGACTTTAACTCCATGTTATTTGCATAATTCTTTGTTTGCTGTCTGATCCAAAGAAATAAACACAGTCCCCAAATAGTCTTTTTTTAATTGCTGGGGGAGATTTGACTTTTTTTCAGTGTTTGGGTCTCATTTTAATTTTATACTTGCAAGTATAATTTTTAAATGACTTTCTATTAAAAGTTCATTGATTTATCTGCCCCTATGCAAGAGGTAAAGTAAAATTTAAGACTCTTGAGCCACCAGAAATACCCTTTTAAACTTACTGCAAAATTTGTTAGAAAATGAGATAAATTTGGGAAGAAAGCCAGTAATCTGATGTCATATCCTGCAGCTCACTTGTTAGAAATCCTTTGACTCCCTGTTAATTCACAAACTCCAAAAGTTAAAGAACACACAACCTAAGCAACCCTGTGTGTCTTTTTGTCTTTACTGTTTTTGTCCATTTTTCTCTCAGTATGGTGCACTCTAATTGGCTCAGATAAAATTTCAAGCAAAACATAGAGCATTTTTTTCCTTATAGAAAATGTTGGTTAAGCCAAAGTAAACAAATTATTTTAAACTACTCATGAAATAACATCTTTATATTTTTCTTCTTTTTTTTTCATGTTTAGGAAATTCACACCCAAGTATGGCAAGATTGTCATTGACTTTGATTCAATTAACAGCCAACCAAAAAGTCAAAAGCCTCAATGAGTTACGTCTCATTAAAACTCTAGAAGATTGGGATTATCCTCTTCTAAGAAGCTGCTAATGCCTTTCATCTTGAAGTTACCCATAACTTTTTAATAGGCAGTACAGCAAAAGTAGACTTCTAAAGAAATCCTCAAATCTTCCTTACTGTCTCTCTGTGTCATAGAATCTACATCTGTTTAAACTATTGATTTGTGATTCGAAATGGAGAAACATCTATAGCATAGGCATATATAGCATAGGGGTGTTTCTTTTCTTCCTTTCCCAGAAGAAAACAGGGCAGTGAAAGGAGTCAGAGGACCTGGATTCATATCCTGACTATGCCATTTACCACCTACTGTAAATTGGGTGAATGACTTAATCTGTTGGCCTCTGTTTTCTCATCTGTAAAAATAACATGTTGGGCATACATGATCTGTGGCTCTATGATAAGAGCCCCTTATTGTTACCCTGGTACCTATTCACTGGGGCTGGTTGGGATTACTGAGATAAATTCTATGCCATCTTATTGCTTCGGTTTTCACTAATATGCAGTGTGCTTACTTGTGCTAGGAGAACAGATAAATAATTGTTGTTGTTTTCTTAGCAGGGATGAGCAGACACACTGTGTTGAACATCTATCCCAATGAAGTAGAACATGGAAGTGCCCCTGTTAAAAACAGAGGCTCGTCTTATGGTAGCTTCAAAATAGTGCTGGGAGAAGGTCACCAAAAAAAGATGACAGTCCCATATTTAGGATTGCTGGTTTGTCTTGTTAGATCCTAACAGAGGGGCATTGCACCATATCAGTAAATACAGATTGAGTGCTTACTTGTATGATCATTTACCAGTTATCATTTACATTAGTCACAAGATCTGAGCAGAAACAGCTGGTTTTTTTGTGAATCATTTTACGTCTTCTTGTCAGACACTGCATTTAATTCACCTTGTTCTTCAAAGTTCCGTGTACTGTCCGTTGTTAGGAATAATTTGTTCCTGACTCTCAGAACACTGTTAATTGTTTGTAGGTTTAAGGTCAAGGACTCATAGGATTTCATGTTCAAGGAGCTTCTGATATTTCTTAATCCCACCATTCATTTAACAGATGAGGCAACTGAGGCAGCAGGAAGAGAAATGACTCACTGAGGTTCACCCAGGGAATAATATCAGAGTTGGTATTCTGACCCATAACTCCAAATCCTTTCTCCTTCCTCTTTTCATCTCCTGGAAACTGTGTCTGCACACCAAGGTTGAGTTCTGTCTGTCCTCTTGCAGACCATCTTTGTTCAGCATCTGGGTTACTCTCTAACATGAGATTGAATTTAAAATAAAAGCACTGAGCCCATTTGGAGGCAGCCTGTTCTAGCTAGAGTGGTGACTTGGGCATATTTAATCAAACTGGCTCATTGCCTTTGTCTTCAAAAATATTGCTTAACCAAACAGCCTCACTAATCAGCACCAGGCTTGGGAATGCATGTCAGTGCACCTTGTCTTTTATCTAATTTAATTTTTTATTAGCTGTGTTTAGTACCTTTGTTTAGAAATGACTCTCTTCTCTTGGAGAGTATTACTTGCTCTCTTTTAAAAAAAAAAAATAAAGCATTATATTCTGCTGAACTTTTATCGTCTCCAAGGTTTTTGTACTCCATATTTTCAGTCATTATGCAATTTGGCGTTTTACCAGTATTATTAAAATCTTATTAAAATCTACTAACTGAAGTATGCTCATCATTATAGTATCATATTGTATGCTTAATTCTACAATTCCTGCCATGCTTGTTAGTGGTGCCTAGAGCACAAGACAAGACACTGTAATGTCTGCTATTCAGGTTTCTAAGTTGCTGTTCATTCAAGCTACTAACATTGGGAAAATCTGGAGGTGATGCCTTTTCCTGGGCTAGATTTTAAAAATCAATAAATAAGTCTTCCATGAGGTATTTGTATATCTTTGGAGTAGGGCCCAGAGCCCTGCCCTTGGAAGAGAAAGTTGTTCTTTGCTTCACCTACCAAGTTGGACTGCCTTTGGGGATGGGACTCAAGTGAAAAACAGCAGTGAAATAGAAAAGGACTCCATTTCAGTAATAGTAACTTATTAAGCTCTTACTATGTGTAAGACACTAGGCCACTGTGGTGCCATATTTTCAAATGGACTACATGGGCAAGAATGAACGTTAGAGTATGTAGGGTTAAGCAAGGAAAACTGAGTCCATTGCCTTTGCTAAGCAAGGACTAGATTTTTCCATTGGGCACCAATATGTGACCTGGAGGTCACCAGCGTTAACAGAATGCAAACTATTTTGGATTCCTTCAGTTAAAGGCAGAAAATTGTCCTAGTTCTAGGCCAGCAACCCAGAGTGTAGAAACCAAAGACACACCTCTTTTCTCTGGGTCTGCTATATCTTAACCAGGTCAAATCAACAAGTATTACTAAGTACCTACTATGTGTCTAGCACTGTGATAAGTGTTTGGGATACAAAGAAAGGCAAAAGATAGTCTCTAATTCTCTGGTAGCCCACAGTCTAATGGAGAAAACAACATGCAAACAAAGTACATACAAGATGTAGATGGGATTCATTGGAGATATCTCGGGGAAGTACCTGGCATTGAGGAGCACCAAGAGAGTATTCTTGCAGAAACTGGGACCTTAAGTAAGACTTAAGGAAGCCAGGAGGCAGAGGTGAAGAGGAGAAAATACCCAACATGGGTCATGGAAAATGCAGAGTCAGTAGGTGGAGTCTCTTATGCAAGGAGGCCAGAGTATGCTGAAGGGAGAGTAGGGTGTAAAAAGACTGTAATAAGGTATAAGAAGATTAGGGCTTGGATCCTTCCCCAGAACAATGGGAGGGGATAAGTGATGGCAGAGGGCTCAGGAGAGGAGACGTTGATCTTACACATTGCACTTGTATGGGCCAGGATTGGAAGGAAATTGATGGAGAAAGGTGAACAGGTGCTTCCTGTTCACCTTTTTCTCTGTGAAACACCTCTGACAATGCTCTCCAGCCATCCAAAAAGTGAAGGGAGCTCAACCAGAAGAAGAGATTACACAAGGTTAACAACATTGTGAAAATGAACGGCTGAAAGACCTAAGAACACTGCTCAACATAGTGATTAATGGTGACTGGAGGACCAGTGATGGAAAATCCTGTCCACCTCCTGACAGAGAGGCAATGGACTCAATATGCTGAATGAGACCCATTTTTTTTTTTTAGACATGGTCAATATGAGAATTTGTTTGTCTTGACTATATATATTTGTTACAAGGGTTATATTTTTCTTCTACTTTAGGAGATGGGTTGAAGTTGAAAGGGAGAGGAAATAAATGCTGGTTAATTGGAAAGGCTCCTTTTTTTCACTGATCCTCTGGTGGGCTTAATTCATCAATGATTATAGACCCTTGAGGAGGGAGTCTGAGGAATTGTAGCGCTAGGGAACTCTTTGCCCTATATGTTCTTTGAAGGGCTGGGTGTTGTCTTTTCTCGAGTGTGCTGGTCCTTCTAGGGAATGGAGGCCCAGGGATTTAACCATATCTTTTGTCTTGGTTTAGATGTGGAAATTCACAAAATGATCCATGGGGTTTCATAGCTAGTCTGTATTTACATGTAAAGCTAAGACGAAATTGACTCAGGGTGGAGCCAAGATGGCAGAACAAAGAAGAAATTGGCTCAATAAAAACTTCAACAGCACACATTCCTGAGCCAGTGTGGTGTAGATAGTGCTGAGGCCTTGAAGTCAGGAAGACTTGGATTTTGGTCCCTCTTCTACTGCTGTATTCAAAGTAGCCATGAGATCCTGGACAAGTCACTTAATGGACCTCAGTTTTCTCATCTGTAAAATGATGGGGTTGGACACTGACTTCTAAGGTCCTTTCTGGCTGTAAATCTATGCTCTTATGATCTGTTAAGTGCCTGTTTGAAATGCAAGCCTCTGCCCCACTGGAAGTCGGAATGGGACATTTTTTCTATTCCCATGTGTTCACCTAACTCACTGAGGTAGAAAGCTTGGAGTAAAGACCCATGGTAAAATGGAGTTGGTTTGGTGTGAGAATCAAGAGAATCAATTAAGATTCTATCTTATGAATACTGACTCCCATCTTGTACTCTCCCACATGTATTTTCCTCCATGTTGTTGTTTTTCTGTAAATTATTCATGCAAATCAACTGGATGGTATAAGCCATTTCTTGTTTCATAAATGCAGGTGGATGCAATTAATCAGCATCCCTCCATTCTGGGAAAAGAAAGACCCCATTCCCTTCCCAACTCAACCTAAACTCATTATTCCCCACCTCCAAACTTGGAAAGCCTTTAATTTTTCCTCCAATTAGAAATCAGATTACCTAATTTTGTATCCTGTTAATTGCTTTCTTTTAATTAATTAGTTTTATTTGATTGTTTTTAATAAATAAAAATCTGTTTTGCTCTGTATTCAGGGTCTTTGACTGACTGGGGAGTCCATTGACCCATTTATTATGCCTGTTTTGCTAATTAATCGTGTTGCTCAGATTATTTCCTTAGTTATCAATTATCTACCACACCTGGAACTTGTCTTTCTGTTGGTAAAAGGGAAAAATTGGCACCCAACAATTCCACTGTTGTCTATAATACAAGGCACTATTTGAAATGGGAAAAGGTTGTTCTCAGCAGCTCATCATGACCGTGGTTAGGGACAGTCTTGATACCTTGACCCTATTAAGTTTCCATGTTAGGTAGAAATACGGAACTCATAGGCCATGGAACAGTTAGCAAAAGGAGGTTCACTTAGCCCTAACATAGCTAGAATATGCATCAAAGGTAAATTGGCACTCAGTGCCTTCACCTATCCCCAGTCTCCGTATCAAAATAAGTCTGCAACTCCTAGCCTGGGGGCACTGAGAGGTTATGACTTGCCCAGGGTCACATAGGTGGTATGCCTCGGTGGTGGGATTGGAATCCAAGTCTTTCTGACTCTGAGGCTATTCCTCTACACATTAAGCCATGCTTTCTTACATCTCTGATCGCTTTTCATCTGCTTGTATGTAATTATTCATTGGTAATGTCCTGCAGTCTATTTATATGTCTCTCCATTGCCCATTGGGTAACTTGGTATTCTAACTCTTCAAAGACTGTGATATTCTGAGATTCACAGTGATTCAACATCGTTGGAAGGATATTGGTGTTAAAAAAGATAGAGAATCTTCTGCTTGCCTGCACTTGCAACTTTCCAAACTAATCCATCCCACTTTCTTTAAATACAGTTTAAATTTAAACTCAATCTAAATCTGGGCCCAGCTCATTGTCTATCTTCTGTATCTATCCTAGATAGATAGAAATATAAATATTCATATGTCTATAAACAGATATAGATCTATCAATATAGAGATAATATAGATTATATACACATAAACTATAGACATAGTTCACAGGTTGTTTATGGGCCTATATATCTTATCTGTTTAGAGCTAGATATATTGATATCCATATAGATAGATCTAAGTACATGATAGATAGGTTGCATCTATAGATACATCTAGATTTTGATATTTATCAGTAGATATAGCTATATAGATATATATCTATACCAATAGATATACCTATAGATCTCTCTCTCTTTCTCTTTATCTATCTCTGTCTTTTTAACACCAATATTCCAATGATGCTAAATTGCTGTGAATCATGGAATACCCCAGTCTTTGAAGAGTTAGAATTCCAAGTCACCCAAAGGGTAATGGAGAGACATATAAATAAACTGCAGGACATTACCAATGAATTATTATGTATAAGCAGATGAAAAGGGATCATTGAGATGTAAGAAAGCATGGCCTAATGAGTAGAGGGATAGCCTCAGAGTCAGAAAGACTTGGGTTCCCGTCCCTCCTCTGAGGCATACTACCTATGTGACCCTGGGCAAGTCATAACCTCTTAGCGCCCCCAGGCTAGAAGTAATATTGTCTGATTTCCCCTAACAGTTGTTTCTTCCCTTCTTTCAGATATTTTCAGATTCATCCCTCCATGCTGTCAAAATCATGTCACCTTCAACATGGACAATCTCTGTGCACGCTTGGTCCAGTCTGGCAGCTATTCCCATTTTTGTCCTCTTTAGGGCCATTTCTACTTCCTTATGAAGTGTATCAAGTCTATAATCTTTGAGTCCAAATGTGGTGGCTCCACTCTCATCAATGAACTTCATAGCTTGTTATAGAAATTTTGACAGATCTTTTCAAATTTTTGTCTGTTGTCCTAATCTAATTTTATCGAATAATTTTATGGACTAACTTAGATGATCTTACTTTATTGGATCTCACATGTATTTCTGTAAACTTATTTTCTCTTTTTCTCTTACTGTGTTATGAGAGGATACTGCTAATAACTTTACAATGTGTTCCATAAAGGTTTGCAGATGAATTTTAATTCTAAACTGGTTTTGCCCTTGTTTATTATGATTCTCTCCTTTAGCAAAGATATCAAATGTTTGCTGGCTGACATGGTTTCTCAGCTCTCTTGTTCAATTCTTTTATCTGTCTCTAAAGGGAACTGTCCTTCCATTTAGCTACAGCTTCCTCACGTTTTCTGGTTTAATTAAAGTGAGAATGTCTATATCAGATATGATTTCTTTCCTCCAGTGATATATCTACTTGGTTGTT